ATACCAATCCGTTAAAAATGGAGAACCCACCTCTGGTTTAGGAATAGATCCATCCAAGAAACCAAATTTTTTGCGAGCCCATAGCGCCCCCCGGAGAGCCGCAAACCATTCAATATAAGTAGTATTGGTAAGAAGAACTTGAGAAATGACACAGCCGGGATTATCGCTTGAAGTAATATCATAAGGAGAAATTGATTTGTAAGGAAGAGCCGCCGAAGAGGCGCCCTCGCCGGTGGCAGAGGCGTCACCATGGATGGGTGATCAAAGAAGAAAAAAACGTGGGGTGGCGACGGCTCAAAGGAGGCGCTCTGATACCATGTCAGAAAGAAACGTAAAGAGAGACATAATAGGAGAAGAAGTATTTCTGTATATCAATCTGTATGAATCACTTACAAAATAAGAGTACATATATATATAGGCTATGGCTAAACTACTTGGGCAAGAAGTTACCCTACAACAATAGAAGTAAATATAAATATAAAAATATTTCCTATTCTAACAAGATAGTGAGATACATATATAAACGACTTATTATTGCCCTTTTTAATGAAATCATTTCAACCCTTTATAACTTATAGTCTAATTTTATCACATTCCCTATGAAATAATTTGACAAAAATATTTATTTCCAAGTGATTGATTAATCTAATCAGCTTTTTTTTTTCTTAGATTTCGACGAGCCAATTATTATGACCATAGTAGTTGTTGCAGATGATCATTTTTTTAAAGTGAATAATTTGAATGAAACTTTTTTTAAAGTGATTAATTTTGATGGGCCTTCCAATCATTGATCAACATCATATTTTAGGGCCTTTTTTCATTGGATTCAATTGAACTCTTGTCTTGATCCGCTTGTGTAGAACAAAAGTGGCCCGAATTAAAGCAAACTCAAACTGCAACCAACATATTTTCGAATTTGTAAAGAAGCATTGATATTATTGTAAAGGGAAAAACAACAAAAATTTGCCACGCATAATTAATTATTTTTGTTGTTAATACTTGAAAAGAGTGATGGAAACCAAAAGCATGACTAGCCCATTAAAGAAGGATGTTCATGTCATTCTTTCTCTTTTGCTTTCAATATTCTAGTTTTTTACATTTTACTTTAGTTTAACATCACTCACTTTAATTTGGAGAAATATGTTTATTTTTAGAGAAATATTTATATTAAAAAATAGAATAATGAGTAAGCAAAATCCAACCGATCGAACCAAAAAACCCAAGCCTGATGTTGACACCCGATCTGGTGAACCCTTAAATTCAAATATAAACGGACACTAATCTGTAGTAAGTTCAAAGTAGGATGAACTCGGTTCAAATCAGATGAGGAACCGACTTCGCCCATCCACGGCAACCGACCTACGTGATTAAAACGAGCTCAAAGCTGGTGATGAGACGCCTACGCGACTGACTGCCCAAGGCGCCCGCCACACATGCCGTTATCATAACCTGTGGGCCCATCTACAGTACAACCGCCTTAATAAAGCTACTTTGCATTAAAAATGCAGTTGTACCAACCTCGACTATCGAGCCCACTAAGGTTACTATAAATAGCCGAATTTATTATTGTACGAGGATCCTTTTTCGGACATTTCATATTCACATGTAAAATAAGCTCGGTTCATACAAAAATCGACTTCGTGTAACTGACCGATCTTAAAATAATACACAAACCACAACGCTTTTTGTCTGTAATTACTATTTATTGTTGTTAATTTTCGTATAACAACACCTTATAGATCAATTTTGGTGGGGTTCTTTGGAGAATTATTTATAACGAAATTTAAAACCAGGATTAAGCAAAATCGATTTGGAGGTTTTTTTTTTTTTTTAATTT